CAAAGCCATTTCTTGATGGCTGTACCAAGTCAGGCTGGAATGGAGTTAATTTTCTTTACAGCAGCCAGTATGATGCTGTGATTCCGATTTGTGGATAAAACAGTGTTGTTAACACACCAGTGTTTTGGTTCTTGCTGAGCAGTGCTTGGACGGTCAGTATTGAGGCTTTTGCTGTCTTCCAGACACCCAACCTGGCCCAAGAGCGAGGCTCAGCAATAAAAAACAGAGGGGGTGTTTTGTCTTCCAAGGTGGGTGTTTCTCAGACTGGGTGTGAGACATAGTGAGTGACAGCTTTAGTGTCACTGGCGTCCTTCCCCTGCCCCTGTTCACTTACTAAGCTTTGTCTTGACTCACAAGTTTTGTCACATTTGGCTTTCCTGTTTTCTCCTGTCACGAGGGCAGCGAATGTGCAATCACTGTGAGGTGTTTAGCTGCTGGCTGGGGTCAGCCTTCCACAGGCCTCTCAACATCCCCCTCTTCCTTCTCCTTTTCTTGAGCTTTTATTGCTGAGGGTGACATGGTGTGGCAGGAAATGTCCCTTTGTCTGGCTCAGGCCAGATGTCCTGCTCTGTCCACTCTCAGCTCCTTGCCCACCCCTGTCCTGCTTGCGCAGGGGAGCAGAGTCGGGTAAAAGGAAAGCCTCAGTGCTGCAAGTGTGGCTCAGAAAGAGTCAAAACGCTGGTGTGCTATCAACAGGGCATTACAGGCAAGCATCTAAAACGCAGCACTGTGTGGGCTGCTGTGAAGGAAATTAAGTCCATGCCAGGCAGACCTCGTACAGGCGTGACTTTAGTAACTGCGTCGTGAGATCACAGTCTGAAGATGTGCAATTACTAGTGTATGGCTTTTGCTATGAGGGTGTTCAAATGCGAAGAGGTACGGAGTCTCCATCATTGCAGATGCAATGAGCAACCTGCCACCACTGACCCTGCTTTGAGCTGAGGCCTTGGACTGGGTGATCTCCAGAAGTACCTTCACTACTCAACTGTGCTGTGAATAACTCTCCTGTGTGTGTCAGTGTTTGTATGTAAGATAGCATTTATTAATGTTTCCGTTCCGATTTTTAGAACATGTGGTAGGAAAGGCATATCAGGCCATTTTTCCTGTCCTTTTCTTCTATCTGCCCCGTTTCCAAAATTCAACCTATGCATAATAGATAGCATTCAAAAAAAAAACCAACCCTGAAAAATCAGGGGTTCTCCTTTGTTTCTAGTGGTTCTATGTCAAAGGAGAAAATTAAACATTCGGCCAATAATTTATAGAGTGAACAGGCTTTCAAGTTATATTTAATTTGAGAGACAGCACAATTTGAAAACTTAGATGATTGGAGGATAACTATGTTTCAGCAGGCAGATTAATCTGTATTGTGATGAGCTGAACAATATAGGCTTAAAATTAATTCTTTGTCTCATAATTTAACAGTGTATAGGGTAGTGGTCAATGGCTTGAAGCCCAGGTGGAGATGGGTGACAAGTGGTGTCCTTCAGGGGTCTGTGCTGGGACCAGTGCTGTTTAATATCTTCATTAATGATGTTGGCAGCGGGATTGAGTGCACCCTCAGCAAGTTTGCAGAATACGCTGAGAGGTGTGGTTAATGTGCCAGAGGGGTGGAATGTCATCCACAGGCACTTGTAGTAGTAGGCCCATATGAACCTCATGAGGTCAAGGCCACGTGCAAAGTCCTGCACCTGGGTTGGCACAAGCCCCATTATCAGTACAGGCTGGGGGATGATGTGATAGAGACCAGTGGTGTGGAAAAGGACATGGGGGTACTAGTGGATGAGAAGCTGGACGCGAGCCACCAATGTACATCGGCAGCCCAAAAGGCCAACCGCATCCTGGGCTACATCAAGTAGATCAAGAGAAGTGATTCTGCCCCTCTGCTCTGGTCCGACCCCACTTGGAGTATTGTGTCCAGCTTTGGAGTCCCCAGTACAAGGCCACAGAGCTGTTGGAGCGGTTCCAGAGAAGAGCCACAAAGATGATCAGAAATCTGGAGCACCTCTGCTACAAAGACAGGCTGAGAGAGTTGGGGTTGTTCAGCCTGGAGAAGAGAAGGCTCTGGGGGTACCTGACAATACCTGAAAGAGGCCTACAAGAAAGCTGGGGAGGGACTTTTTACAAGGCCAGGTAGTGATAGGATGAGGGGTAATGTTTTTAAATGAGAGCAGGGTAGATTTAGATTAGACATTAGGAAGAAGTTCTTCATCATGATGGTGGTGAAACACTGGAACAGGTTGCCCAGAGAGGTGGTAGAGGCCTCATCCCTATTGACATTCAAGTCAATAGAGGCTTGATGGGGCTCTGAGCAACCTGACCTAGTTAAAGGTGCCCCTGCTCACTGTAGGGATTTGAACTAGATGGCCTTTAACGATACCTTTCAACTCAAACTGTTCTGTGATTCTGTCCTTCTTATATTGGAAGCCCCAGAACTGGACGCAGCACTGCAGGGAGGTCTCACCAGAGAAGCGCAGAGGGGCAGAATCACCTCCCTGGCCCTGCTGGCCACACTCCTTGTGATGCAGCCCAGGATGCGGTTGCCTTCTGGGCTGCAAGTGCACATTGCTGGCTCATACTGAGCTTCTCATCATCCAGAACCCTCAAGTTCTTTTCCTCAGGGCTGCTCCCAATCCATTTTCTGCCCAGCCTGTATTTGTGCTTGGAGTTGCTCCAAGCAATAACTCTCAAGTCACTCTTTAAATATTAAAAAAAATGATACAGTTCGTAATGGTGAGATACTTTTAAAGTCATCCATGTAGCTGAGACCTGAGCAACCTAACAAGCTTTATGCTATTTTAAAATTACTGAAGTAGCTGTAATGTGGTATTGAGATCCATCTGTATTTCTGTATATCTGTAAACCAAGTTTAACTTTTTTTTTTAAGTACATGCTTATTTACACCTTCCTTGATGCATTTTGTGTAAGTAGGAGTTTTGTTGCTGTCAGACATTGAAGGAGGCTATGATTCATCTTCCTGTCGTCTAGATAAGTTTTGTGGTCAGTCTGATGTCATGCTTGATGTTTTTTACATGTTAGATAACTCCGAGCACTTGCGGATTCACACTCCCTAGTGCACTTGTCTGGAGATACCTAATATCTTTGTGTTTGCAGTATTCGGTTTGTTCAGCCGCTCGAGCAGTCGTAGTGGTAAGGCAATGTAAAAGTGATCATCTGCATCAAGCTCACTTGTAGGAGGAGAAGGCTGTAGGCCTTAGTCATCCCATCAAGTCAGAAAGATCTAGTCTGTATGGTACCCTAACTGCAAAAGGAGTTTTCAAACACAGCTGAGTTCATTCTTCAGCCCATTTTACGAAATGGGAAGAAAATTAGCCACCGGCTCCTTATACTAAGGAACTCCTGATGGCATTTTTAACCAAGGAAGGAGAGAGGAGGCATTGGCAGTCAAGGTATTCTTGAGTTGATGGGTGAGAAAAACTATGTAAGGGTGTTTCACTTAGTACAACATGTTGGCAGTAGCTATTCAACATGCAAAATATAGTGTCAAGTCATTATTTTCTGTAGTATGGCAAAGTTTAAATTTTTATGCAGAAACTGGCATATGTGGATCGCATCTCAGTAAAAATTCCAATAAATTAATTGGTTTCAGTAATACTGACATTCATGTTTGTGGGAAGATTAAGTGTTTTATCAAGCATCCGCTGGTTAATAGCTTTAGAGTGAGAGAGAGAAGTAAACAAATATGTCTTGCTGTGGCTTCATTTAAATGTTTTTGAGAAAGTATTTACAGTATTAGATACTGTTCCTGCACGGGACACTACTGATCCAATTGTAACAGGCCAGAGATTTCATTGCTGCATGCCTTGTTCATTGTCTTTGCAGACACAGCTGAGTATGCATGAAGTGAGAAGATACACTCAGTATATTTCTGTTTTGTACTTCAGTTTTTAGGTTGATATTTTGCATACAAATGATTAATTTCTGTTAGTCTTCATGTTGCTGTTCTTCGTTACACTGTAAATTTCAGTAACTGCAAAATTAAGCTAGAGCAAACTCAAATGCCTTGAATTTCAGCTTGTGTCTGTCACTGCTTCTCTCCTGAGCCTTCCAAATGCAATTGCAGTGTGAATCTGGTGATCAGGATGAACGCTTCCCTGTAGTGGGGTACTACCAGTTGGGCATTTAATTTATCAGGATAGCTCAGGGGTTTTCAAATATAATCTGTATAAGCTCTGCTACGAACGTTTTCTGTTTTCCTGTCCTCCTAGAATGAAATTGCTCTACACTTGCGGCGTCTCCCATTTCCCTTCCTTAGCTACTCTAGGACTTTGAAAATGATTGCCAATGAAATAGCAATTTTCAACATGGTTGGAGAGCTGGTAATGCACGTGTGCTACTTGAATGTGGAAAAAGCAGTGTCCTCGTTTGGCATTTCGAGCAACTAATTAAAATACTTTGCAGAGTTTAGAATTAATACATGCTGAATACAGTTTTGTGAACTTTCTTGACTTCAGTGTATTAGCAAATTCTCATTGCTACAAATGAGATTATGAAGTTTAACACTTGATTTTACTAAAACTTTGTGAGAAAGTTTTCTGTGGTTGTATGGAGAAGCAAATGCTCAAACAGGAAAAACTAAGCTGTTTAACATTTAAATCCTCTTTTTCTTATTGGAACAGTATTGCTGACATCATTGAGCACTATAGAAAAGAACAGATTGTTGAAGGATATTACCTTAAAGATCCTGTTCCAATGCAGGTAAGATTTCATCTCTGAGCATTTGTTGTTGAAGACACAGACCTAATCATCATCAAATCAACTTGAGAACTGGATTACAGCAGAGATACCAATGGCAGTTAAACAACATCATCAACAATTTTCATGTTTTCAGCTTGCATGTTTCTTTTGTTTTATCCTCAAATGCATTCACTTACCAAAGGTTGGCTTGTAGTCAACAGAAAGCATGGTAAGCTTTGTCTCTCCTCTGAGGTGTTCATCCTCTTGCTGTGTGCCCCTGGCTGAACCGTACTGTGCCCTCATCCCACGTTAGGAAGAGCCAAGCTGCCCTCCTGTCTTCTGTGTCTGGGGTTTTTCTTCTGCCAGAGGAAACCTGCATGCACAGAAAAGCTTCAGGGATGACTGCAGGCCTGGGATTGCAGGCTGCTTCTGGAGTGCTCTTGCCGCATAGCAGGAGTTCATCCTAGGAAGCCACCAGTAATAAGCACACCACATCATCTACCTTTTCATAAGCTTATAACTAGTTATAAGTTACACATGTATAATTTGATCTCTGTCTGTTCCCAGACTTCCCTGTTTCAGTGGTTAGAAATTTGCCTTTAATTTCCTCCCTGAGCAGAGTTACAGTCAATCCAAACCTCTCTGTGAGGACTATTGTGTTAATACAAGAACATTTCTTGTGTTCTCCCTTAGTTACTTTGCTAAGCTAAGCATACCAAAGCTGATCCTGTCCCTTTGTAATATTCTTATAGTAGCCCTGCTGCCACCAGTTCTGATGTGACCTCACCTTTCTTGAATATGGTAGGGACCAGAACAGTTTAGAGTACCGTGTCGTGGGTAATTCCCTTTCTCTTTTGAAAATAACTTAACAGATAACAAATACCTTAGAATAGGTGTCATTTTCTGTCGAGGGTTGACCCTGGCAAGCAGCTAAGTACCCACACCTTTACTTGGTCACTCCCTTCTCCTGAGGTGTGGGTGCAAAAGCAGAAAACCTCCTGGATTGAGATAAGTGCAGTTTAATAAGCAGAGGAGAAGGTGGTGGTGCAAAGGCAATCACCATCACCTCCACAAGCAGACTGTTGCCCAGCCAGGCTCTGAGTGGTCATTGCCCAGGAAGACACACCACCCCCTGACCCCACAGTTTTATTGCTGGTGATGGCGTTGCGTGGCAGGGAATATCCCTTTGATCCACTGGCATCAGCTGTCCTCGCTGTGTCTGCTCCCAGCATCTCGCCCACCCAAGCCACCTTGCTGAGGAGAGGGGGGCAGGGTGGGAAATGGAGGAGGTCTTGGGGGTGTGATCAGGAAGAGCCAAAGCACTGGGGTGTTACCAACAGTGTGAGCCACAAACCCACAGTACCAAAGGGGCTGCCATGGCAAAAGGTGACCCCATTCCTGTCAGACCCAGTACGTTGTCACAGCCACGTTGTATTTGTGTTTCTCATTGTCTGTTTTCTAGTGGTAAGTATTAACAGGTGTAACCTTTACGTTGCACTGGCAGACTTACACCTTGTGATTCCGATCTTTCCTATACTGCTAATTGTCTTGTGTTTCCAGTGCTTCCCAGTTCTGTGCTGCTGTTCACTGACGCTTGGTGATGTGGTTGGGACAAAAAGCAAATGCCAATCCTGAGACTGCTCCTTGAAAGGCCTCACTATTAACTTTCCTCATGCTCCATCTTTCATTTGAATCATGGCAGGAGTTGTCTTCATTTTAGCTTTTTGCTTGTGCACTTTAAAATTCCTGTATTAATGATCTTCTCTGCATTGACTAATTTTCCATGTCACACTACTTCGCATAACTTATTCATATATATTTGTGACTTTCTTTGTTTGAAAATCTAGCAGTCAATTTATGTTCAGCTATGGGTCTCCTTTCCACATACACCATGCTCTGTGTTTTTGAGAAGAGAGAAAAAAACAAGTCCTGCATACTTTTAGTCTCAGTCTGATTGATTTCCTGTGTCTAATATAAAATTTACTGAAAAATATTTGTCGCTAGATCTGTTATTTTGTGCACTGTTCCTTGCCTAGCTATACTATAGAGATTTTCTTGAGCTTGTAAAACACCTGGATGTTGCTTCCATTGTAAGTCCTGTACTTACTGTTAGTTTTACCAAAGTGTTTTTCATCTTGCTTTTGACCTGTTACTCAAAATGATAGTTCTTGTAGATAAATGGGTAGGAAGAAAAGTAGAACATTTAGTATGAACCAGTTCATGTGTCGCTTTTCATCTCGATGCTGGTTGACAGTCTTGCTTTTCATGTTTTCTCACGGCTAAAGAACTTTTGCTGATCAGCTTACTCGGTAAGGTCAAACTTGGTGTGGCTTTTGCCCATTCTCATTTGTTACTTGAGTTTCCAGGTCCTACAGCTTTCTGTGTGAATTTGTCCCTTTTCTGTTTCCTGTTTCTGCTTTCTTCTCTTGTCTTGAGTCCTACTCAGTTAGGACATGTGAGCTCTAATGAGATTAATGAGGGACTGTGCAAAGCGGAGTGAGTCGGTTTTAGTTGTGATCTGCACCGTTCTTGTTGCTTCCGATTTTATCCATGATTACTTAGTCCTAAAAGCTTTGGTAGAAGACAGTTAGAAGCTAGATAAAGATGCTCCTTTTTATTTAACATTAAAAAGACACTTTGTAGGAGTTGATCTGTATTGAAAATGTTTTTCTTCTATCGTCATTCTTGAAATATGGAAATAGTTTTATCTATGACATTTCTAGCAAGGGTATTGTATGAAAAAATTACATTGCTTTATTAAAATGAATAAGAGAACAACAGTAGTGAGTTGATGGCATTCAGTAAGATGATTCTTATTGCAGCTTATTGCAGTATGCAATTTTTAATGGCAAATTCTGAGCTTAAAATGTGTTTTTCTTACATGTTTACCAGCACCAAGAACAAGTGCTTAATGATACACTGGATGGAAAAGAAATCTACAATACAGTTCGTCGAAAAACAAAGGATGCTTTTTATAAAAATATTGTGAAAAAAGGTTATCTTCTGAAAAAAAGTGAGTCATGTTTACTTCTGTGGGTTTGGTTTTTTTTAATAAAGCAGATACGGTTCATAGACTGTCTTGAGTTGGAAGGCACCCATAAGGTTTATCAAGTCCAAATCCCAGCTCCTTGCAGGACTCCATAAAACTGAACTGATTGAGTTTTAAGTGTGCCATGACCGCTTCCTTAGGGAGCCTGTTCCAGAGACTGACCCCCCTCTCAGTAAAAACCTTTTCCTAATGTCCAATATGAACTTCCCCCACTGCAGACTCATTCCAGTTTTTTTCAGACTGGAGTACTTAGTAGGTACAGAGTGGTACACATAGCTGCACGTGGAACAAACTTAATAACATCACTCTTCCATCTAGGAGACAGGGTGTAATAACTGCACGTTAGATTTGTCTTCTCAAAACAGTGCTAGTACTTGTTTATTGAGGCCCATGGTGGGTTTCTGCAGATGAAAGAATAAAATCAAGGACAAAAGTTTTTTCTAAATGGTACTTTTGCATTAATTAGTTGCAGAAAGTTCCCAATCCGCTGTAGTTCAAGGAATGTTTTCTCTGAATCAAGTGCAACCAGCCAGGTACTTAGATATGGTTGTGTTTCGGGACGTGATTCTAATCTAAATTTGCATACAACGTATTCCCATTTCTGTTCTTCAGCCATACTGTTTTAAGATACTGTAATGCAATCTGTTAAATGTTGGTTAGTTTAGGACAGACTTTCTCATGTCAAGAGTCTGTTTCTTGATTAAAATTGTAATAAATGTGATCCACAGCATAGTTATTTGCAAACTGTGGAGACAACAGGAACTTGTTGTGCAGGGAGCTTAAATGCACTTGCTTGATCCTGTTGAAATTAGTGAAAATGTTTAGAGAACATTTTGCAACTCTGCCTGCATCTGTGAAATAGGTCTAATTTTAGCCACATGTATAAAATTGAGTGTGTATACTGATACTGCAAGTTAAGTGTAATTACCTGTACATTGTTTCTCTGTTTGCAGTTTGACAAGAAAGAAGAACCTCTCTTGTTCCCGTTTACAAAATTTACTCTTTGTTTTAAACAGTATAACTTTTTGCTTGTATCTCCTACAGGTAAAGGAAAGAGATGGAAAAACTTGTACTTTATATTAGAGGGAAATGATGCCCAGCTTATTTATTTTGAAAGTGAAAAACGAGCCACAAAACCCAAAGGACTAATAGACCTTAGTGTGTGTTCCGTCTATGGAGTACATGACAGCTTGTTTGGCAGGTAGGACACTGGCTTTTAATTCTTGTATGTGCAGCAGGAGAGTTTACAGCTAATTTGTGGCAGGTACAGGACATGGGCAAAGAGTTGTTAATGAACGAGTAGCCCTGGCGTGCATGAAGTTGATGTGGATGGCAAGACTGTATGTAGACAGATGTATCTGATGAACTTGTCTAGCCACGGCAACTCGACTGCTAGCAACTCTACACAGACAACTTCTAGTTACAAATCTTAGAATTTAGTATTAAAGCTTTATTGTGAAATAAGATAGGAGCTTTTGCAATTGTTTTTAATTATTGTTATTTAGAATATACAATATTTGTGATATATTAGATGTATATTGTATATATTTGAATATATTGTAATATAGAATATTGTAACATATATTGTAAACAAGGAACATTTTGGTTAACAACTGTCTTTTAAGCAGCTCTTAAGAAAGATGGTGCTGTGAGTTAAAGTGTGGTTGGACAGTAAGTGGTACTAGATGTGGGTGGGAGGAGATGCATGGTTGTACCAGCTTAGGAAGCTGTCAGTGAGACGCTGTAGCTGAGACAAAGTTCCTCCCGCATTTTAAGTCACTGGTAAAAACTGCCTTTGCCCTTCTCGGACATGCAATGAGGATGTGGCTTTGCGTGGTTCTGTGGTGACAGTGATTTAATTAGCTCCAGACCTTGCTGCTTCCCACTCTCCCACACCCTTCCATGGCATGGCCAGAGAGTGTCGTGTCAGTGTTTCTCCAGTGAAATGGATGGGGAAACTGAAGAGGGGATGCTTCATGTAACAGTGGTTTTGGGAGGGCTAAATTTCCTTGAGCCCAGTGTGGAAGGTTATGAGTGAAGTGTGCACTCTCAATAGCTTGTAATTTCACAAAACTAAGTATTTTTGTTGACTTTTTTGGCAAATGAATGGAGGCATTCAAAATGGCAAAGACAGTATAATTGCATTTAAGGTTGTAGAGGTTTGTGTCACATACATTCAAGGATTAGCATGTGATCCAGTTCACATTTTATTGGTCACAAGAGCCATGGGACACATTCAGATAGAGGATTGCTCATGTCAGTATTTTTTCCGGAACTCCTGAAAGAACAAATCCTTAATGTGTGTGTGTTTAATTGTTTGGGAACTAATGCTGAACCTCTCCTGCTTTTAAAGTCTCTAGGAACAGTCCTTGTTGACAAACCTTCTCCATTACCAGATGGTGATTTTTGATTGACTGTAAGTCAGCATACATGCCTGTTCAGTACAGGCCGTTCCGAAACAGCATTCCAAAACAAACCAGCTGTACTGAAGGGCAGTTTTCTTGAAATTGCCATAATGCATTCAAAACAAAATGCAATTTTGAAGCAAGATGTAATTTCCTAGTTGGAGTTCTTCCTCTTTCCATGTGTGCTGATGCTACAGGTAAACAAACAGAAATTCATGCAATGCTCAGTGCTTCTTACAGACCAACAGCAGAAATGTGTTAGTTCAATGTAAACTTTGTTGTGGTACAGCTCAACAAGTGGAGGTGTCTGTTAATATTACAGAGATTAATGAAACTTAACATTTTGTGTTTTGTTTATTTTTAAGGCCAAACTGTTTTCAGATAGTAGTTCAGCACTTTAGTGAAGAGCATTACATCTTTTACTTTGCAGGCGAAACTCCAGAACAAGCACAGGTGAGAGCTTTTATTGGTAAATACATTTAAGAAGTAATTTTTTGTCTTGTGGTGTTTAACAACATTGCCTTTCTGAAACAAGAAGTGAGTGTATCACTAATAGTTAGTGGCTGTGTCTATCAGCATGTGTTAAAGTGAAGTATAGCAGTGGATCTGTCAGGGGAAGGGTCGGTGCTGAGAGTCCACTGCCTACATTACCTGCACTTGGGGGTTTTACTTTAGACAAGTTCCAGTAGGGTCCCATGGACTGAACTTCCATTACTTTTCCTTTTCTGTTTCTGGAGAGCGTTTGTTGTTTGTTTTTTTTGTGGGTTTGTTTTTGGTTTTGGTTTTGTTTTTTTTTACATAGTTCAATTCAGAAAAATAATTTCTCTCCAGAAATAATCCATGTTATAAACCAGAGCATGGTAAGTTGGAGTTTTCCTTCCAAGACACATTCCTGATATGAACTGAAAGGCACATATTTGTGTCCAGTGATCAAAGTATATCGAACAACTGCCTTTTGCAGTTATTTGTCCTGTCCATAAATTGGTATTAATTTATAGTCTTGGGCCCTGATCGTGCACAAAAAGTAAGTTTTTCCTGGTTTTAGTTGGTATCCTTCAGTTATTAGCTCTTTAGCCGTTATGTTTGCTGATAGGAGCCTAATCCTCTGAAGTTCACTCACCAGCATGAAAGCATATCTAAGATGAGACAATATCCTTATTTATTAAGCTCACAGCTTGTTGCATCATAAGTTAAGCTTTGCATTTGATTTTATTTTAATGGAATTAAAGCTGCTTAGAGTACTCAGACTGCTGTTCACCAGAGAGTGAAGCCTGTATGAATTTAGTATTCTTCTTGTGCTATATATAAAGGAAAGCAGAATTTTTCATGTTAAATTAATACAAATTTATGAAAGTTGCTGAGATGACATCAGAATGGTGTAGAGGCATTTGTCACACAACTCTTAATGCACTGTCTTTGAGAAGCAGCACGCTGCGTAGTAATTGAGAATATATACACTGATTTCCACACTTATTACTGAATATTCATTTTTGTCACGTCTGCAAGGTCTTTTGTGTTCTAGAAGTTAAAAGAATTAAGAATATGTGGAAGACAGAATATCCTGTCTTGTTCCCTGAACATTTGGTATAATCTGCTTTTGGTTTTGATCTGCTTAACAGGCTGTTCAGTGCATTTATCCAGAGTACAGTTGGTTGGTTTGTTGGGGTTTTTTTATATTATGGCTTTGGCCCAGGAAAGTTCATAGGTAGTTCTTTCTCAAAAGTTCAGCTTTCTTTAACATTACATAGAAGAATAGTTTTATTTGGACATCAAGGCTCTGGTAAATAAATATGAATACCTTGTCTTTATGTTTTTTACAAAACGAAAGCGAATGTAAAATGCGCCGGTGCTTACTGTTGATTCTCACTGCTGTAAGGCCTGACAATTAAGGGGAAAGGTTTTCCTGCTGTGAGTGACTGTAGGGTGTACAATGCATCCAGGAAATGTTTCTGTTAGGGTATTTGTTTCTTCGATTGCTGCTCCTTCTGAGGATAAGGAAACAAGCTGTGACATTGTTTAATTGTACCTTGAGAACAGATGACAGATCTTTGAGATGCAGACATAAGAAGGATGTTGGTCAAAACCTAAGTTTTGTGTTTTGCAAAACCTGTATAAAATCTGGTGGGTGGGGAACAAAACCTGGAGCATGAGGCTGTAACACCTTCCACCTTCCCCTTGCAAAGCTCCTCTGTTAGCGGCTTTCTCGTGCTGCAGTGACTTTCAGAGGTGCCCTGGCGAGCTGGCAGCGCCTCGCAGCACCTTATTTGTTTAAAAAAATACACACAAAGGTTCTACAGTCAGTTTGGTGTTAGACAGCCTGTTTATTTCCTTGATCAAAACCGAATCCATCCATCTGCTCTGCTGTATTCATTTGTGAGCAAAGTGGGGGATGTTGGATATATCCTTCTCTGTTTCTCTGTTAATGCTATCTTAGCTTTCGTTTGAAGTATACACAGTATTGTGACTTCCATACAGTACTGGAGTTTTGCTTTTTAACTGTAATTTTCACAGAAGCACACAAGTTTTGCTTCATTTTATATACCGTTTGTAATTCCATGTAATATTACTAGACTGGAAAATTGGTAAAGGTCACACTCCACATCCATTAGTAATGCTTGATATTTCTAAAAGAGAAAATGGTTCAGATATGCAAATCCTTTATTAGGTTTTGCTCAGTAAAGATAAGAATTTTGCTTTAATATTCAAACTTGCATCCTTTGCAATTACAGAAAACTTAGGTTTTGCCAAGCTAAAGGGAAAAAAAACTTTGGATACTCTGTTTATGTACGTCTGTTCTGCTGCAAGAAGCTGTGTCTGACTTTGTTTTATTACACTGTTCTGCCTCCTTCTGACGTAGGACTGGATGAAAGCTCTGCAGATGTTTTGCAGTTTAAGAAAAACCAGTCCAGGAACATCAAATAAACGTCTACGTCAGGTGAAGATGGTTCCATGGGGTTGGTGGTGATGTGGACAAGTGTTTTGTCTCCTCGTTACAAATCAATACTGACGAGTCTCAAAATTTTCCTTTCAACAGCAGTGAATCCTCCATGTACTGACTTTCCTTTTTGGAGTTATGCAGTGAAACCAACCAGAATGACTTACACTTTGTTGTAATATCTACATACATAGAAAGATTTAGGCAATCTGCACATGCTGTGCTAGGTGTTATTTTCTGACTACATTTGATCCAAACTATAAGGAAGTCAGCATTTGTATCATCTCAACTTCTAAACTTTACCACATATGGGGAAAAAAATTGACAGACTTACATGACGATTAAACAAAATACTAATTTAACTAATATTATTCATCTTCAGTAATAAATAAATGCTGAACTGTGCTTGTGGCTAAATTTCTCTTGGCCTCTAGAAAGTGCTGTGTTTGCCAGAATTTCCCCAAGGGAGAGGACAGATGGTCACAAATGGCAAAGTCTGCAATGACTGGAGAATAACGGGAAAATAATTCCAGAATCCCTGATATTTTTTAATGTTAGAAACAGTGAATGGAGTTGTTTTAACAGACAGCAGAGAAAGAAATAAAATAATGTTTTTTTGGACACACAACTGTTTTGTATTTAACACTAAGGATGTTCAGATACTTCTGAATAAATGAATTAAATTAGGTGAATTTACAAATAAAGTAGCAGGTGAAATTGAGGGCTTCAAGCTGCAAAAGTGAAACAAAAAAATGAGAACCTGAAAGAATTCTTTACTTCAAAAAGTGAAGAAAATGTTTATCTACATGAAGGAATAGAATGTAATGTGTTGTACAAGGGAATTTTACATGGTCTGTTAGGAAAGCAACAAATAAGCCACTGTGTTTGGAATCATCTGTGGCTTTTACTCAAGGTGCCAGTCTTTGACTTCAGTAACATTTTCTGTGCATAGAAGAGTCAATGTTTGCAAATTGTAATGCCTCAAAGACAGTTTTGAAAGGAGAAAACATGCCTTAAAAACACAGGGCCGGAGATTTGTTTTCAGTAGTTATCCGAGTTACTCTGATTTTGTCACTGGTGCCTCTTGAAACATTGTTCCATTACTTCTGTTCCTTGCTCTTTTTACTAGGAAACTTTAGTTTGTATTCAATATTCATATGTTAACAGTAAGCTTCCACACGGAAGATGAAAAAAATAATGCATTCATATGGTTTGTATTTCTGTTCTAGCAACAAAAAGTAAATTCTGTGTGTTTTTTTTAGGTCAGCAGTCTTATTTTGCATGTCGAAGAGGCCCATACGCTCCCAGTAAAGCATTTTACTAATCCGTATTGTAACATCTACCTGAACAGTGTTCAGGTGGCAAAAACACACATCAGGGAAGGGCAGAACCCCGTCTGGTCAGAAGAATTTGTCTTTGAGTAAGTCTTAATCTTCTTGAATTACTGAATTTCACTTGTAAGTTGCATTGCATTTAAGATTCTTAACACTGTACTGTCTTACATATGCTTTTAAAAAAAAAAACCAACTGTGTGTGTAGTTATACAGCACCAACCTTTCAGCCAAATTCTGCATGGGCAGGATTTTCTGTAGGCACCTAAATATCTTTGTTAATATAAGTTAATAAACTCAGGACTGAAATGAGTGTTTAGAATAAGCTTAAATGCAAGCCCAGTATAGTATTAATTGAGGCTTTCTGTCTTTTCTCCTAGTGATCTTTCGTCTGATATTAATAGATTTGAGATAAGTCTTAGTAACAAAACAAAGAAAAGTAAAGATCCAGACATATGTAAGTATTTTTTCTGTAAAAGATGCATGTACATTGCAGCAATGGATATTTTGTGTGGTTTTCATTACTCTTGTCAAATGTTGTCACAAGAGAATTAAGTGTATTTTTATGCTCACTATACTGCTCTGTTTGTATGTTTTGGATGTCTGGTACTGGCTTTACATAAATGTTTTACAATGAGAACCTGCATGTTTTTTTAGTAATTAAATGCACAGTAATCCAGCTCTGTGTATCTGATGGCTTTTCTAGCTCTGGTCTGGAGCAGCCACTGTGTTATAAAATGACTGCTTACCAAAAGGCAATGGAAAAAAAGAAGTTGTCAGTATTAGTCTGCTCCATAAAATGCTGCGCTCCATGGCGTTTAAGCCTGATTGCATGGCATTCCTTTTCAGGTTTTTTTGTTGCTTCCAGTGAGAAAAAGAAAGGGAGGAAAGGTGTAGTACTTCCGTCATGGGAAAAAAAGGAATTAAAAAATTATCTCTGAAGCAAATTTGCCGCCTTTTCCTTTCCATTTTACCTCATCTGTCTGATTTCCTTGTACCACTCTTGGGCTTAAACCCGAGCTTGCCTCAGTATTGCTTTGAATGGGAAAGGGTCCACATTTTCTTGGCCTTTTACAGAAGTTCCCAAGAATTTATTTTCCTTGTGTTACCCAGACAGCTGCTGTTTCAGCTGTGGTTTTGTTTCTGTTCCAGCAAAAGCTGGTAAGACCTGTCAGCTTTCTAGAAAAGAAAGGGCTGGGTTTGAAGAACGTGGATTCTGAGTGCTTAGATAGAAAAAATTGGGTTTTATTTTTTCTTTTAGTTCTCTTCCCACACAGTGTGTTTTTTAGGGTTTTTTTTCCTCTTAGTAAGGTATCTTGTTTCCATCATCCTTATTCTGGAGCAGCATAAGCCCCCTGCCTCCTCTGATGCCTGCAGGGCAAGACACCCTCCCCGCCCCCTTCACATTTGTTCCAGGATTTTTTCTTTTCCATTGTGTTGAGAGCTGCCTGTTCCAAAGCCTGTCAGAGTACTTGTAATTTATTTCAGTTTGCAGTTTGCATATGTTGTGTTGCTGGCCTGTTAACCTGTGCCTCAGTGCTAATTTATTGATTTTTTTTTTTTTGAGATTTATAGGGAAACCTTGATCAAAGTAGAATTACTGTGCATTTTGAATGCTCTTGCAGAGCCTAATTCAATTTCAGAAATCCTTCCTCTGAGCAGACAACTTTCTGCAGAGCAGGAGGAAAAAGATACATTCCCTCTGACAGACAAAAGGGCTGTAATTGCAGTTGTGACCATCTTTTTGCACTGTTCTTTTATTCATTTGAGCTGGAAAAGTCATTGATCTACACTGAAGCTCTGGTTAGTAAAAGAAGCTTTAAAAGGATAATTCTTGAATGGAATACTGAAGTAACTTCTTTAAAAGTTTCTGTAGTTTCCTCATCTCCATCCAGATGAAGGAGGTTGAGTTGGCTTTGGGTGCATCCAGCTGATGGGAGGAGATGGAAGGTTTCCTTATTGTTTATTTTATATTATTTTTTTTATTCTTTATTATCGGGTGCAGGATAGGACGAGTTTCTCGATTGCAGTTCTCTACGCTCTTAAAGCATAACCCAACACTCTCTTCATTTTGGGACAAGGACTGGACCAAGTCAACTTGAATGGACACATCTCTCTGCTTACATCCCCAGCATTTTTAAATATGTGAAGTGTGAGGGAACAAATGAGCTAAACCAGACCTTGTCTAACACAGCTCTGTGCTGCGTTGCCTGAATAACCCTTGAGGATTGGTTCCTTTCCCGAATGTTCTCCTTTTCAGCCACAGCTCTTAAATGTGCACTGCTATGAAGTAGAGGTCATGTGAAGCTGGGACTCGTAATCTTCCTGGTTAATTGGGTTAAGTCAGCTTTGCAACTTGCTTTTCCTGACATGGAATGCAGATTGAAGGCCCAAAACTCTTTTACTGGTCTCACTGCTTTATTTCTTTCATCGTAACACACAAGTTAAATATCAAAATAATACTAGCGTGAAGACTATTTTTTTTCAGTATTTTTAAATAATTCCTGAGTTTTCAAGTCTTTGACTTTGAAGTTCGCCAGTTATTACAATCCCATAATTATTTTAGTGTTTTTGTTTTTTAAAAGGTATTTCAATAGTAAGAAATACTAAACAGTTTACCATCACTTCTATTTAGATTTTTCTTTGTTTCCCTAACTGTAAACTTCATGAGGATTTATTCAAATATTTATAATATGGCATGAAACAAATAAAGCCCTCAAATGTGTCAGTAGACTTCACCTGCAAACTGGGATGCTCAGGTAAATCAACTGGTAAATCTCTCAGGGCAGTGCCATACATTGTTGAACTGGAGTGGAAGTTCTGGTTAATTCTGAATTAGTTCGTGTTGAAAAAGAAACATTTTTGTAAGGGAGGCAGTCTCCTCACACAGCAAGTCCATGGAACAAAGCATTAGCCAATGTCTTTCCTTCCAGGCACAGTTGTTACTTGCAGTTTTTGAGCTTGTTTTTGAAGCTGATTGCCAAGATTGTGGAAGGATGGGCTGTCGTAACCGGGCAGTGACTTGTGTTGGTGAAGGGCAGGATTCTGTGTGTCTGCGTATTGAGCAGTTTCCTCTTTTTCAAGATTTCAAGTGGCGTTCATTCTGAATCAGTAATCTATTTTTTTTAGTGTTTTTGATTGCTCTGTTTTGTTCTGGCAGAGTTAAACAAAGGATTTGTAGTAAATTCAGGTTCATTTCCAGTCTGAGGACTGGAACAAACCTAAGTTTGAACCCCTTTGCACTTCAGTTCCCAGGTTATAATTACTAACCATCAAAATACAATCTTGTTACTAAATATTATGCTTGAAGTTTCCATTAACAAACATCAGTCTTTTTTTTTTTTGTACTGGTGTTTATATTGTAAAACACTGTGATTCTTTTTGGATCAAGGTCATTGTCGAGCAGATTCTTACCTGTGTCTAGAGAGAGCAACTGTTGTTTGTTTTGATGATTTTTCTGTGTATTTGTTTCTCTTTCTAACAAGTTTTAGATTGTAAAGTGTAAATATCCTGAATTTTTCAGCTAATAGCAGTCTCTTATTGAAGGTAGCCTACTGATATAGTATTTATATTATAGCTATGAAGTGCTATATAACCACAGGGAAAAATTATGTCATTATTTTATCCTAGATCCTGTATTTCATTCACTATACCTCTCACTGAGATACACGTGCCTTAAGTGTGTAAGCAAAATAAGGAAAACACATTGCTTAGTTACAGATACACGAGCTTTGATGCTAGGGAGAAATATTCTAGAAAAGTCAGTTCTTATGTGGTCTAAAGACTTAGTCCCGTCCACAGCGGTGAGATGTAACAGGTGATGATGAACTGTTTTTCACACAACTGTTTTGAATGCATTAGCTTATATAAGTTTATCAGCTCCAAAGAGTATGAAGTAGGTAACAGCAGTGTCCTGAAAGAAGCATCATAAATGTGACATTTTTCTGTCCAGTATCAAATGATACCTTGCTATGTATTGCAGCACTGGGGCAATGGGAAGTCTGCCGAGTTGACTCTCATCATTATCTAGGCAGCAAGTAGCTTGGGAATAGTTTTTTACATAATCTGCATAAACTGTCACAGCCGTAACCTGGGAATTAGTATAAAAGCAACGCATATGGCAGTGTTGGGGAAAGCCGTAACAACACTATAATAATAAATAATAAGCAACGAAGTGGTCAGGGAGCAGACCTGATGTTGGTATCAGCCCAAGAGTGGAAAGAGGACAGCCAATTCTGAACACTTGATTTTTAGTTTCTGGCTGCTGCTTGGATTTGCAGGGTAGCACTTTTTTACTTACTACTTACGTGTTACAGAGAAGACTGTGTCACTATCCGTGTGGCATATTTGAATGTGTATGTACACATCCTTTACAGAATGCCTTATGTTTCTTCTTCAGTTTACAGAAGCCTGTTAAACCATTGAAGAGAGAATCTGTTGATATATTAATGGCAAAAATATTGCTTATTAATATTCATTTGCTGAAACAAGATGGTGTGCTGAAAATAAACTGTGTTTTTTATTTAATAGTAGCACTGTTTTGCTGTAGATAACTTACTTGAACAATGCTTTTTTTCCTTAAGTGTTTATGCGTTGCCAATTAAGCCGATTACAGAAAGGCCATGCAACAGATGAGTGGTTTCAGCTCAGTTCCCATGTACCACTAAAGGGTATTGAGCCAGGATCTCTGCGTGTTCGAGCACGGTATTCTATGGAGAAGATCATGCCAGAAGAGGAGTACAGTGAGTTCAAAGAGGTATGAAATTATTTCACTTTCCTTGGCAAAACTCACTTTGTTGGTTGTTTGAGACAGCTCTCAGTAACACTGGTTGACATCACTGAATAATCTTTACAGTGGCACCTATATATGACTGCAGATGTATGATACCAGCTTTTACAAAGCTGTTATATGTTGGGAGAAGCTTCTCAGTATTTTAAAATTCTGTTTTTCTTTCAGCTTATACTCCAGAAAGAACTTCATGTAGTCTATGCCTTATCCCATGTTTGTGGACAGGACAGAACACTGTTGGCTGGCATTTTATTGAAGATTTTTCTTCATGAAAAGCTTGAGTCCTTGTTGCTACGGACACTAAATGACAGGGAGATAAGCATGGAAGGTACTGCACCAAATTACACTAACATTTACTGCAATTCTGGGCAGGTGGGGCAGGAGGGGCTCTGGTGCCTTCCTCTTTTTCTCCTCCTGTAGTTACAACCTGTATCACAGTGTAAACACAGCACATTCTTCCTGTGCTATTTGTTGTCTCCTTTTCTCAACTTCTCACTTTGCTGTCTTTTTTTTCAGATGAAGCCACTACCTTGTTTCGTGCCACCACTTTAGCCAGTACGCTTATGGAGCAGTATATGAAAGCCACAGCAACAAGTTTTGTTCACCACGCACTGAAAGACTCCATATTAAAGATAATGGAGAGCAAGCAGTCCTGTGAGGTGATACCTTGAGCTACCTTGTGAAGCATTTTGGGTTGCCGACATAGTTATCTACTGGTTGTTGTGTTTTACGTTTGCACTAGATACTAGCTTCAGAAACCTTTTTTAAGCTCTCAGAACTGAAATTTCATTTACATGAGAAATACAGGAACTGAATTAATTTAGAGACTTTTTTTTCTCCTAGATTTTGGCTCTGAACAATATTCATAGTAGAACTTTTAAAGTTTTTAAATTAAAATTTCTTTGAATTATTTATTTCTAGCAATTACAGGCTGCTATGTAGCAGTTACTGCATGTCCTAACCTAAGTAACTTCCAGTAGACTCGACAGCATAGAAGTCAATAGCTGAACTTTAATTTAAAACTGCCCGATATTAAATTATTTTTACTGATCCTATAAGTGCTTTTAAAATGACCCTCCTAAATTTGGTGTTTCAATTTAACTTAATTGTGGAAATTACGAGAGTCCTCTTAGTTTCAGACAAAAAGGTCCTGCAGATGGATAATGGTGAATATCTGAGCTGTGAAAAGCCTGGTGTATTGTAACTTAAAACCACTAGCTTCTTCACATTTCCTCACTAGCCATCGAAACAGACTTGTGAGTTCTGTAAGAGCACAGCAGGAGAACATCTAATTTACTTTGAAGTAGTATTCAGTGTGTAATGTTACGAAACTATACATGTAGCTCTAGTTAGAAGAAACAATGTTTTCTCTTTTTGTTCTAGTTAAATCCCTCAAAGTTAGAAAAGAATGAAGATGTAAACACTAATCTGGCACATCTGCTCAGTATACTTTCAGAATTGGTGGAGAAAATATTCATGGCTGCAGAGATCCTGCCTCCGTAAGTTTGTACTTTTCTGTAATTTCTGTGATTTGTATTTGAAAAATCCTGATTGTGTGAATTGCACCTTAATGAGTTCCTACAGGTTCATCTTTTGCTAATCAGCCATAAGGCGAATGTCTTTAGGGTTGCTGTATGCACACAGAAGAATGTAACACTTTCAGGAATTAATACTGCTTTTTGCAAAAGCCTCTGGCTAGCAGATGTACTTTTCTTTGAAGAAGAAAATACTGGACCCAAGAGGTCAGGGAAAGAAGAATAATAGAAATAATCTTGTATTTCCAAAAAAAAAGGTGTAAGACGCGAGTAGTTAGCAGACAGTTAAATATATTTAACTTGATTACAAATTATTTCCAGTCCTCCTCCTGTGAGAGATAGAATTGTTAACAGCATATTAAAACTACAGGCAGGCAGTAATGCTGTGATTGCTTTTGTATGATAGGAAGATGTTTTTTTCCTTTTTTTAATTCCTAAAATAACTTGTGTTCATTCTGTAAGTTTAAGGGAGTAAGCAATTAGCTATTATTCCTACAGAACGTTGAGGTATATTTATGGGTGCCTGCAGAAGTCTGTTCAAAACAAGTGGCCAGCCAATACCACCATGAGAACCCGAGTTGTTAGGTAAGTTATTGTCACTTTATTCTGGAAATAATCTTTTCAGTTCCCGTAAAAGACACGGTTGTGTTGCTGCCAAGAGAGGTTCCCTTTGCCCACCCACTCCTGCTGCTCCTTACCTTGGCCCATGGCAGTGGGTGGCTGCAGGACGATGCTTTGCAGTGCAGACAGCAGAAACCCTTGGCAAGGTCAGAGACCTGCTCCTCCTTTTTGGAGCCGGCGTGGTCTGAGATTGAGTTCGATGTGACTTTACCATTAAGTTCTTCCCACATGGCTTCAACCATTCACCTTAATTGGGAAATTGATATGCTGCTTCTTTCAGCTGTTACCAGAGTTGAAGTCGAGGCACGATATTCTTAATTTGTTAATGTATTCACAAAGCACAGGCTGCTTGCTGGGTGTCTGTCTCAGAAAGATTCCATGCTAACTTGAATTCTTAAAGACTACGCAATTTTAAATTAATTCTCTAATTGTATTGACCAGAATACAATTTTCTTCCCATTCCAGTGGCTTTGTTTTTCTTCGACTGATTTGTCCTGCTATCCTGAACCCAAGGATGTTTAATATCATCTCAGGTGACTATATGCTTCACACTGAATTCATTCCTTATACAGCAGGAGCATGAAATTACTGTAGTGTCTAATGTAGCAAAATACAAAGTTGTTTTGAACAGTGTCCAAAGTCATGTTATCCACGTCACTTGATTGACTTCTCCATAAGGCAGCCGGCTTATGCTTTTCACCCTTAAAGGTTAGATTGTGGTTATCCCAAATGTTGCGTTAAAGTCTAGAAAAAGATGCACTGTGGTATTTAATAATACAGTTTTGAGTGAGTCTGACAATGTGGTATATGCTCTACCTGTGTGAAAAATGTACGTGTGTGATCTTCAGATGTCACTTTGCATACAACACAGTGCCAGAGTTAATGGCTGAAATTCAATGAATTGAATGAACAACATTTATAGATTAAATTAACAACATTTATAGAGACTTTGTCTGCAGAGCTTGTAATATGTTTGCGCAGACCTAGAAAATTATGCTCGAATAAGTGGGGGTTGTGCAGACTTAGAATGGGCTTTCCTGTTGTGAAGCTTTAATGGTGAGGGCATAGATGATCCCGTGGCAGTTGCCTTAAGCACCCAGAAATGGTTGTGGGCATTTTTGACTTGGCTCCTGTGGGAGGAAAAAAGGAAAGTCATTAACTACTGGAAGCTCTACAACTGGAGTTAAAATATTTGGATATCTGAGTTGTTTAGTTTTAAAAGTTTACATATGTTATGCTTCATAATTGTTTCCTATTTTTTTAATTTGGCAAAGATCACCGCAAGGTGGAGGACATTTAGATGCCGTAGGCACTGCCCTTCCTCCTTTCCCCCCTGGCGATTTCTTGATTTTTGCCAGTAAAATGCTCTTTTGGAAATAGGAGCAAACTGGAAATCTAATTCACAGAATCACAGACCGTTAGGGATTGGAAGGGACCTCAAAAGATCATCCAGTCCAATCCCCCTGCCGGAGCAGGAACACCCAGATGAGGTTACACAGGAAGGCGTCCAGGCGGGTTTTGAATGTCTGCAGAGAAGGAGACTCCACAACCTCTCTGGGCAGCCTGGTCCAGTGCTCTGTCACCCTCACTGAGAAGAAGTTTCTTCTCAAATTTAAGTGGAACCTCCTGTGTTCCAGTTTGTGTCCATTCAGAAAAGCTTTTGGTTTTTGGGTTTGTTTTTTTTTACACATAGAGAGTTTTTAACACAATGTAGCATGTTTTCTATTGTCACTTTTTAAGCTGTACTGAATAAGAAGGGCTGTACTGAACAGAAAGTTGTAATCATTTCCATGCATGCTTTGGAGAAAGCATCTGAGAAACATGGCCTGGCACACAGTGACCCTTTATTTAGGATTATATTCTCTTCAGGTAATTTGCAAGTTAGGTACCTCGTAACTTGGGCTGCACTGTATCTGCAGGTGTAAAACGTTACCTCTAAGTTTGAGTAATCCCTTTTGAGCTTGGCTGTCAGTGTTAAAGTCCTGATTATGTGCATCCAGGTAATGTTCTTGACTGCTGCTAAAGTAAACTTACAGACTCCGTGTAGGGCCTTTAGAGGTGCTCTAAAGAAGGGATGAGGCAGTCCTTTTGGAGCAAAAGTTATTTTGGATGGGAAAGGGAAGAAAGAAAAACAAAAGATGCAGGTAGATAATGAAAAGCATACAGCATTCTTATGAAGAATGACAAAATTTAGAGCCTATATAATAACCATGTCAATTTGGGAACAGTTCAAACCTGGCCTTCACCGAAGCCATTTGCACAACAATTTTGTAAGACACTACTGGGTAGTATCACTTGTTGGAAAATGAAATTTTAACTAAGTCATTAATGTAAAGTGCTAAGTACAGTAAGTGACTATCATTTCATGGAAACACAAGCCACAATTGCATGTAATGTTTACTCTGTCATCCTGATGCCACTAATTTAAAGTATAACTTGTCAGAGCCCAATTATGTCGGTATACAGAAATAAGGAAAAAAGTAAACTTAGGGTTTTAGGTTTTTTTATTCTAAAGGTAAAATATTTTTTTTATTCTAACAAATAATTCTTTCATGAGAACTGTTTCATTTTTGTGCAAATGGTTCTTCACATAGCTCTTACTAACACCACTTTATTTTGCATACTTCTGTATGCAGCTATCACAGGAAATAAATGTTCATATTAATATATTCTTGTGGACATCACTAAAGCAACATAAGTTTTACATAAGTGACATCTTACACGTGCCGTTCTTTTATAATATTAAAAATATTCCATGAAAAATGAATATGAATCGGAGAAGAGCTTTACCTTTGTGTACTGCTGTTAGTTTTGAATGGACGGTCAGTAACTCTCTACTTTATTCCTGCCAGATTCTCCTTCCCCCACTGCTGCAAGAACGCTGACGCTGGTCGCCAAGTCTGTGCAGAATTTAGCAAATCTGGTTGAATTTGGAGCTAAGGTGAATATAATTTTACACACACAGAAGAGCCTACAACTCTGTTTCCAGTACATTTCAGTGTTTTTGTATAATACATGCAAAAATCCATTGCCATACAGCCTGATACATCACCTGTTTGTCCTGATGAGCAAGGAGGCCTCATTACTGCAGTTTCTTCTGTCCTCTTCACTTAGAACTGAACAGGGTGTTCATCTGAACCAGAGCAATAGCATGAAGCCTGGCCAAATGGGGAAGAGGAGCCATAATGATTTGAGAGGAAGTGATCTAGCAACTCTAGAACCCTGAGGGACACCACTTGTCACCAGTCTCCATGTGGACATTGAGATCTTGATCATTACCCTCTGAGTGTGAACATCCAGCCAATTCCTCATCCACCAGAAAGCCCATCCATCAGATCCATATCTCTCCAACTTAGAAGGATGTTGTTTGTGACCATGTCAATGGCCTTGCAGAAGTCCAGAGAACATCCATAGCTCTTCCCTTGTCCACTGATGCAGTCCCTGTCATAGAAGGCCACTAGGTTCATAGAATCACAGAACGGTTTGGGTTGG